TGGGAAGATACCCAGCAGGGGAATAGCTAGGTCAAATGGGACTTCTAGTCCTAGTTCTTTTTTTTTTTTTTTTTGTAAGGGGGCTAGAACTCTGGTCCTTGCATTTGTGCAGCAGGCGGCAAAACCACTGAGCTAAATCCCCGGCCCTCTAGTCCTAGTCCTTTGAGGTATCTCCATACTGATTTCCACAGTGGTTGCACCAGTGTGCACTCCCACCAACAATGGAGAAGGGTTCCTTTCTCTCCCAACCCCTGCCAGCTTTTGTTATTGGTTGATTTCTTGATAGTAGCCATTCTTTCTGGGGTGAGGTGGAATCTCAGTGTTGTCAGGAAGATAAGACTTAAGGACACTGGTAGAAAAGAATGTGGGATCTGAAAGTCAATGGATGTTCTTAGCAACCTCACTGGGGTTCATGCTGTGTTCCAGAATGGTCAGAGGCCAGCAGAGCTGCTTGGCCTGGAAAGGGAGCCCCACTGTGCTCAGAAGAAACCCACTGGCAGCCCTCCTCTGGTCTACTCCAGAACAAATGCTCTGTCCTTGACATCAACACTAGGCAGCAGCCTCCATGCCACCTGGCAGTGAACCACTGCCAAAGTGTAATTGTACCAAGCTGTTGCAAGGAAGCCTGATTTAAATAAGGCCCTGGCAGAGTGGGGCCCAGCAAAGCCTTTTCATACCTGTTAATGAACCCTCGTTAGAAACAGCAAGAGCCTGTGCTGGGAACTGGGAGCCCCTGTCTGCCATGCTCTCCCTGCCAAAGGGTGATTAACTGAGTGACAGACAGCAGCAGCTCCGTGCAATTACCTGACCGAGGGGACTGAGGGCTTGTGGCCCTGCGCAGCAGGCTGTGCGAGAACTCAGCAGAATGTGCACATCCACGTGCCCCTGCTTCCAGGTTCTGCAGCCACAGATGCACCTCCTTTGGATAGCTGACCTTTGTGGGAGGGGAGCTCACCTTCCAGCCCTCTGGCTGGATTTAAGTTAGGGATTAGGTCTTGGCTAGGAGGCAAACAATCAATGGTTAACAAGAAAGAAAGAAAAAAATAATAAAAACAACGTACCTCTGTACCTCTGTGTCGTGGGCTCCCATGGAGCTGGAACACCGCACTTTGTCTTTTGGCTGAGTCCCTTGTACCCAGGTGGTGCAATTATGGGCAGCCTCATAGTGTGTTGCTGCAGGGAGGACTTGGCTGCTTTGCTGAAATGGAGCATTAAGGGGTGTCTTGCTTATTTCCTTGCCTCGAATAACAAACTGAATTGGTGCTGTGCAAACTGTAAATAGCTGCTCTGCCCATGTGACTTAATAACAGAATTCTTTTGATACTGCAGGCCAGAAAGGAAAACCAGTTGGAGTAGTTCCAACCAGGAGACCCCATTTCTTGCCTTGCTTCTCTTTTAAACTTTCTTAAGGATAAACAAGGTTTCTTTTGTTTGGGTCAGCCTTGGTTATTCAGAGCCTCAGCCATGGAGGTCTTCAAATGTGCCTATGTAGGATCTGTCCCCATCTGGAGTCTGGATCTGCAACTCACAAAGACAAAGACTTGGTGTGGATATGTTGATCTATGTGACTCGTAGGCTGACAGAAACTTGAGGGGAGAATTAAGAAATTAAGGCTGGGCTTCTTTTTAAAAATTAAAAAAAAAAAATTGTGTGTGTGTGTGTGTGTGTGTGCAGTTTTAGAGGCACTGAGAGCCTGTGGTGGGACACAGGTGGTAGTTTCAATTTTAATCAGAAGGCAGAGTCACCGAGGCAGAGTAGGTGGCAGATGCATGAAATATATTGGGCTGGCCTGAGATTTGAAAGGGCTGGGGAAAGGATCCTGGAAGAAAATTCGGTGACTGAAAGCAGGGTGAGCAACCACTACCTAATTAGTCCCCCACAGGCTTAAAGTGAAGTTCCCTTTATGCTGATTGAGGTGCTCTGCCAACAGCAGGTGAAATGTGTGTGTCTGCACGAAAATGCACATGCAGAGCATGTTCAAGAGGTCTTCACAGGCTGGGATGTCTGTAAATATGATGCAGATGTGATAAGGCAATAGAGCATCTCCTTCCCAGTAAAACAAAACAAAAAAATTGGCCCCATATTATGCCTGCCATGAACACAATTTTTGCCCAAGCAGCACTTGTATGATGCTAAATCCAAAAACAGTTGACCCTTGGATGACAAAGCAGATGGCATCACACTCAAAGACCCTTTCAGAAGTCTTCAGGAATGGCTTGGTGGTCTGGGCAGGGAGCATGGTGGTAGAAGGGTGCTTAGCATGCTTTAGGTTCAGGTTTCCATCCCCAGCGCCAAACCAAATGAAACCAAAGACAAAACAATTGGGAAAGGTGGCATGTGCCTGTAATCCAAGCACTCAGAATGCTGAGGCAGTAGGACCACTGTGAGTTCAAAGGCAGTCTGGATTACATAGCAAGACCCTGTCTCAAAAAATCAAACCAAGGGCTGGGGATTTAGCTCAGTGGTGCAGCTGCCTGCCTTGAAAGTGAAAGGTCCCGAGTTTGATCCCACATATCAAAAAAAAACACAAAAAACAAATAAACAAGCAAGGACAACAAAATAAACAACCTGAAGGTTCCTAGAGCAAAGGCCAGGCAGAGTGATATTCAACTCCACCTGGCAGAGAGTTAAACAAGGTGAGCAGACTGGAAGCTGTGCACAAAGCATTTATTTGGATAGGGACAAGGGAGGTTGCTTAAATTACAGACTACTTAAATGAACGGCCCTCTCCACCTCAGGAAGCTTTTCCACCCCAATGGAACCAGCTGGGGAATCCAGCAGGGCCTGAAGCTCCTCAGGCAGTGTTATGGTCAGTTGGTGAAGAAGGCTGCATTTTCTTTGAGAAAAGAGGAAGTTTCTTCATTAGCTGGAAAGAAGCACATGTGAATCAGAAGCAGTACGCGAGGAAAATCAGTAAAAATATCATTAACAGGATTACTGGAAAGGCAGATGTCTCATGATAAAGAAAGTGGCCTTCGGAACAAGACAGTTTTGGATTTTAAATCCCAAAAGAAAAACCGAGCCAGGTGTGGTAGTGCACACCTGTAATCCCAGCACTCTGGGAGGCTGAGGCTGAAGAATCACAAGCCCAGCCTGGGCAATTTAGCAATTTATGGAGATACACACACACACAGACATGCACACATGCACTAAGAAGAAAAGGGCCGTAGCAAGGATTTTCCTGTGGTCACTAGCTCTTAGACTAATGAGCTGCAGGTATTACCTTCTTAGCTGTGTGATCTTGGGCAAATGACTTTAGCTTTCTGAGACTGTTTCCTGCCTGTGCAAGGGGTGGGGCTGGGGGGAGGGTGAAGGCAAGCAGGAGGCGGGATTGAATACTCACTAAGCACAATAATTACCTAACTGCCTACTTTTCGTGTTTGTTTAAAGTGACTTTTGCATATTTACTCAGATGTTCATAGGCATCTGAAAGAATTAGCTTTGTTAGGAACATCTGGCTTTTATAAGCAACAGAAAGCAATTCAATAAAAAGACAGTTGGAAAGAAGCTGGATGACATGATTCTCACTTGAAAGAAGGGGGAGATGTTTCCCTGTGGCTCTCTTGCCTTTCTTCCTTCCCAAGATAGATGTTACGCTCACAGCCTGAGACCTGGGCTCCAGGCCCCATTCTCCTCCTCCATGTGTGATAGTGGACAAATCCTTCCCACCTGGGCCTCTGTACTCTCTCTGGAAGCATGAGGGGTTGGCCTACGTGATCTTAAGATGTCTCCTAGACCTGCTATCCTGTTTCTTACTCCACACATGCCAATATAGAACTATAATAAAAATAAAGGCATGAGTTTCTGGAAAGAGTTTGCAAGGCAGCTAAGCCCCAAGGCTGATGTAGATGCCTCTGAATCCCCATCTATTAAAAAAGACTGCATATATGTGCTCATATATTCATATGTGTGTACATGTGTGCATTTGTATATGGTTATGATTGACTGGCTGGCCAACCCCTCCCCTGCCTCCACTATGAAATCTGGACTAGCCAAACAGCTCCTTTCCCAGCATCCACTGCAGGTAAGTATGGTAACACAAGCAGGTTCAGGTGAATGAGATATAAGAGAAAGCTTGCTTTTCTTCACTGATTAAAGAAGAATCACTCAAGGGAAAGCCTTTTTGCTATTGACTCTTCTCTCCCTCTTCTTTTGGCCATGAAGATGTGATGTCTGGAGCTGTGGCGGGCAGTGGGTAACCATGGGTGACAAAGAAGAAGACAAAAAGCCAACATGTTGTATGTTAGGAAGATGAAAAGAAATGAGCTCGAATCTTTAATGAGATCACTAGCCTAGATCACCTATTTTTGAGACCCTGAAATAAATGTGGTTTATAATTATGCTCAAAGTGTGGTCTGTAGAAGCAGCAATGTAGGTATCACCAGAGAAATAGTCTCGTGTCCCACCTGAGACCTACTGAAGCAGAATCTGGATTTACAACAAACACAAACAAACAAACACACACACACACCCAAATCAAATAAGTGAACTAACCTGCCCAATTGTCCGAGGTGCATATTAAAGTTGGAGGTATATGGAACCATTAATTAGGTCCTATTATATGCAGCTGAAACATTGCGACAGCTATCATATGTCTTAGGTATATATATATATACGTATGTGTATACACAAATGTGCACATATCTACACTACACACCTATATATGTGTATGCGGGTAAATATGTATTATTTGTATATGGATAGAAAAATCCCAGGTCGCAGCTGGGCTGTGGGAATGAATATAGAGGGGTGGGGTGGGGAAGGAGAACTTGGGGGTGATATTCTTTCTCTCTCTGTCTCTCTCTCTCTCTCTCTTCACTTTTTGCATAGCTGGGGATTTAACCCAGGGCCTCGCTCAAGCTAGGCAAGAGCTCAACCATCTAGCCACAACACCAGCCCTCCTTTTCATCTTAATGACTTCTATACTGTTTGGAGAGAAATAATTTATTGACCCTCACAAATAAAGACCCTCTCTATAACTACCGAGGGAGGGGCGGAGCCTACCCGCTGTCAGCTCGGTCCAGCAGCGCCAAGTAGGACGCCACGTCCTTCTGCAGCTGGGCCCTGTGAGCCAGGAGGTGCGCGCGCTCGCGCTGCTGCTCCTCGGCCTCCCCGCGGACCTCGCGGAGCTCCGCCTCCAGCCTGCCCACTACGGCGCCCAGGTTCTGCAGCTCCATGTTGTGCCAGTGCTTGGCGTCGTGCAGCGAGTTCTCCAGGCCTCGTTTCTGCAAGAGAGCCAACTTGTTCACCCCAGGGCCCATGGCTGGCCCTCCAGGGAGAGGTGGGCAGAGCGGGGTCTGCAGTTTATGACAACGACGACCTCGTCTTTGCTTACATATACTGGTAGGGTTCAGGGTTGCAGGGCTCCTTGGAAAAATAAGGGCCCCTTCCCAGGAGGGAGGGTGGGGTTGGGGGAAGGTAGAGAAAGAGTGAGAGAGAAGACAAGACAGAAAAGAGAGGGGAGAGGAGAGAGAAGAGGGAAATGAGCAGAAGCCAGGAGAGAGGGGAGGGAGAGGAGTTTTTAGAGGTTTCTCACTCTGCTGGAGAGTGCCTCAGGCACCTCTTCTCATGATCTCTTCCTCCTGGGGGACCTTTACCCCTCCACTGGTGAAACACCATCTATCTTTAGGCTAAAATATAGACTCCAGACTCCAAGATCACCAGAGATCACCATAGTTGGAATGGATACTGCTGGCCCTTACATGCTCAGCACTTGTGCCCCTGGATGCGCCTGCTTCGTCTCTAGCTGGCTCAGGATTCAGTGTCCTCTAGGCTGATGGTGATTCCTGCACTGTTGCCTCCAGCACAGCTCCTTCTGGTTTTTCAAATCAAGGTGTCCAAAACGGAGCTACTGCCTTCCTTCTGAGCCAGCTGTCCCTTCCTAGTCTGTGTTTCACCTGGTAAATGTGCTGGAGGTAGAAACTGGGGAAGGATTGTCCTTGGTCTTCCTTCCCTTCCAAAGACTGTCCTCACTCTCTCTGTGTATTCTGAGTCCTGTCCCTTGTATTTCCTGTGAAGCCTTCACATTCGAGGCCTCCTCTCTAGACACAATGGCACAGGCTGGAACACTTAGCACCTTTCACCTAAAGTCAGCTCAGTGGCCTCTTAGTTCATCTCCCTGCTTCTGGTTCTCACTCTTCCCACACCCCACACAGCAAGCCCAATGCTTTGTCCAAAGTCCAATCCTGGGCCTGTATCTCCTCTGCTTAGAGTTCATCGGTAGCTCCCCGGGACCCTAGCATGGCACACAGCTTCACTCTTACCCTACAGCAGAGCCCTCAATGCTTCCAGTCTTGGAGTTTATTGGGCTCATGATGTTTCCTACACATGCACCAGCTACCATCCTTCTCTAGCCCTTCCATCACATGCACCTGGCCCACTCTTACTCATTCCCAGATCCAAGCTCAGGGACCACCTCCCCTAAGCAGGCTTTCTTGACACACTTCCACCCTACTATCACAGTGAACTATGCATGCTTAGGGGCATGTAGGAAACAAGTCTCTGTAACCTTAGTGCACCAGAAAGGACCTGTACAGAATAGGAGGTCTGGTATACATAGGTTGCCCAGGCTGAAGATGCTATGTATGGTTACATTTATTGCCCTGTCTCCCCATTAGACTGGAAACCTTTTTCTTCTCCTCTTCCCACATACCATGCCCTGAAATCTACAGTTGGTCAATAAACACCTTCAAAGACCTGTGTGCATCCATGTTTAATATTTTTACATAGTTTACATTATGGTAGACTTATATAGTTTAATGTCTGACTTTTTAATATAACATACAGACATAAAAATATTTTTCTAAATTGGATTCAATCAAATTCTGATGGAAAAAGTTTCTGTGTCCTGCTGTCCAGAAGAATTTTTTGAATCCTTTTGATCACTGTGGCTGAAATGGAGGATTCTTGGTCACGGTGCCATCTTGAATCATGGTAGGTTTGAAGCAGAGGTCATTATATTATCTTACTTAAGTCTTCTAATTCCATAGTATATGAGAATGTTAAGTCAGACTCTTAGTATAGACCATTTTAGGAGGAAAAATATCATTATTAGAAAATAAATCTAGATCAGTATATGGTCCAGGGTTATTGTTTGACTGTGGGATCTGCAAACTCCTCTATAGCAGTGAGGATGCGGAGACTTTGGGAATCATTTGTTTCAATCCTCTTGGGTCTTCTTCCTTTGTTTGTATAGGAAATTGCTTCATTTGTGAGTAGTTGTTGATGTTGGACTTATAACACTTGTGATTTGGAAACACTTCATAGAATTATGGTTGGATCTTCCGTCTATGGCTTTTGCTCCATATTTGAGGTGAGTGCTCCATGCAGCCTGAGGATTTTCCTTGATGACTTAGGACACACTGCCCATCGGGGGACTCAGGGGAACTCCTGTCAGAGGAGACATCCCACCCTTAGAGTCCACGTCTAACTTCCATACCTAAGTTCCTGATGTTCTGGCAGAAAGAAAGGATGCCTGCTTATCTAGACATGTATGAGCTTGAGTGACTGGTCAGGCTACTGCTGCAGCTCTCATAATCCTGGCCCTTTTTACATAGAGAGTATCAGCAACAAACTGAGGTCATAGGAACCCAGTTACTCCCCTGGTCTCTGGAGATTTGAAGGGGCTTTCTTGAATTGCTAAGTCCACTAGAATGTAAAATACTGATCTCCTGTGACTTCTGGGCTCAAATTCCATTTCTGATTTGATAACTAAACACAAAATTCAATAGTCTCCAAGCACCCTACTGGTGCCTGGCTTCCAAGACAACACCATAATGGCAAAGGGGGCTAAGTCAGATTGACTGTAGGAGGCTTGCATGAGCTGTGGGGGCCTCGTGTGTGCACAGCTTGCTCTGATTGAGGACCACAGAGATGCAATGTACCAAGAATGTTACCTATTCTGGCTCAGTCTGTGCTCCTCATCTTGACTGCCAGGGCCAGGAACAACAACTGTGGCTTAGTGGAACCTGCAGGGGAGCCTAACCCCGTTCTGAGTCATGAGCACAACCAGAATGCCGCTGCTCTCATCTTTTGGTTGGTTTGGTTGGTGAATTCTTTTTCCATTTGTCCCAAAAGTTAGGGTTTAAGCAAGGTGACCAGATGACTGATAATGTCAACTTGAGGTTAGTGAGCTAGTGATTAAATTTTATATGATAAATAATAATAGATGATATTATTGCCTGCTCACTCTATACCAGGAAGGGTGCTAAGGGCTTGACACACATTACCCAGTTAACCCTCCCAGGGACTTTTAAGAGGTAAATTCTATTCTGCTCTTATGGTAGATCACATTCCCAAAGGCAGCTGAAATAATTATCGCCATTCCACATGCTCTTTCTCAATGTGACCTTGCCACTGTTCCATCAAGAGGGGGAATTTATTTTCCTTCTGGTTGAATCTGGCTGGTCTTGTGATTGATTGGACCAAGAGAATGAAGTATAAGTGACATTCAGTGACTTCCAAGCCCACTTGTTAAGAGGCCTGGTTTTATAGCTTCTGTGTTCAGTCTCTGAGGGAAGCTAGATGTCACATCAGAGCTCCATTACTATGAGACTCCCTCAAAATGTGGGAATCCCAGCTGGCTATGGGGAGAGGTCACACAGGGTGTCAAAAACAGGTGCATGATTGAGGCACCACTCACATGAGTTAAAGAAGCCATTGTTGGGTGTCCCGGCCCAGGAGACACTGTGCAGAACAGGAGAAAAGTTGTCCTCACTGAACACTGCCTATATCATAGAATGAGAGAACAAATGAACCACTGTTGTCTTAAGCCACTGAGACAGCAGACAGATTTGAAAACCCAAATAGGTCCTCACTGGGACAAGTGAGAAAATGAAAGCTTAGAGGAGTCCCATAGCCAGTGAGTAGAGGAGCTAGGGTTTGAATCTGGGTACCCCATTTCCATAGGACTGCTGTGCCTAAGAGAGTAGGAGTCAGATGTAGGTTCTGAGGTGGGTGGAGCCCTTCCAGAGCCCTGTCTTCAACTCTGCCCATCTCTGGTTGCCCCTCTCCTCTGCACCCACCATAAAGTCGGCCTTGTGACTCCCACAATGGAGTGATCTCCCCACCTGCCACCTGCTTGCAGGCAGAACCATCTGGTTCCTATGGTTAAATCAACTTCTTCCTTCACTGATGTCACATGGACTCCTTGGGAGCAGGGACTATGTCTAATTACTCTTATGTCCCCAAGCACTGGGCACAGTTCTTGGAACACAGTAAGTTCTTCAGAGTGATGCAGTGGATAAGAACAACATGCTTTCAGGAATTCTCTTATCAGATCTTCACAGACACACTGAGAAATGGGGTGGACTGTGACCATCACCGCCATTTTGCAGAAGAGGAAAATGTGGTTCAGGGATTTGCCCATTGAAACAGGTGATAGACGAGCCAAGCCCTTCTGACTCTATTACTCTTGCTTTTCTCTCCTCAGATCCTTTCCTCATGCCCCCTTGCACTGCCCCAGAGCCTATCATCAGCCTCAGTGAACTCCAGATCTCAGCTGGACAAGCATCACACCAACCAACTCTTTCACACACTCTGCTGTGCACCAACAATGCTTGTGGTTAGAATGGTAGAAGTGACCTCCTTGGAGGAGACCCTAGAAGGAGTAGTGCCTCATATCTACCTAACAGACTTTTAGTCCATGCCAGAGAACAGAGGGTGGATGGCTGTATAATCATATAGTTGTCCCTTGGTGTCTGTGGAGGATCAGCTTCAGAAACCTATGGGTACCCAAACCTGGATGCCCAAGTCCCTTACAGAAAAGGGTGTAGTATTTGCATATAACCTATGCAATACTCCTGTAGAGCTCTTATAAATCTCTTTAAACTCTCTCTAGAGTGTGGATACCCAATACAATGTAAATGCTACATAAACAGTTGTATTTTTAGGGGATAACAATAAAAATATCTGTACATGTTTAGGACAGATGTAATTTTTTTCTCAAGTATTTTTAATCCAAGTTTGGTCGAACACACAGATGTGGAACCCGTGGCTATAGAGGGCTGACTGTAATTACTTTAACTAGTAATGATTAATAATTGCAAGAGACAACCTGGTTCCACACTACAAAGACGCAGAGGACACCGGACCACCAGACCACGGTACAGGGTCCTGCTGCTCCCAGCCTAGAGGTAGGGGCATCTGAGCTGCTGTCCCACTGCTCCTGGTCCAGAGGAAGGGGCTTCCTGGCCACCAAACCCTCCCGCTGCTCCCAGCCCAGAGGAAGGGGCTTCTGGGCCACCCTCCCTCCCATCACTCCCAGCCCAGAGGTAGGGGCTTCTGAGCCGCCATCCTACTGCTTCTGGTGCAGAGGAAGGAGATTCCTGGCCACCATCCCTCCCACCCAGCCCAGAGGAAAGGGCTTTTGGGCCCCCTTCTGTCCCGCCACTCCTGGCCCAGAGGAAGGGGCTTCTGGGCCACCATCCCTAGTGCCACTCCCAGCCCCTGTCCCACCTCTCCCAGCTCAGAGGAGGTGATCCTCGCGGGCACCAACAGCACC